TAGAAAACCTAATGGCACCTAAGCAATAGATTTTAAAATAGTTTAGATTTTTAAACATAATATTTTTTTCGTATATAAAAAAAAAAGCTATTTATAAGAATATTTTTAAATAAAATATATTGATATTAAATCAATTAATTATTTGATTTAAGAATAATTAATATAATTATAATAATTATTAATAGAATAATAATAAAATATAATAATAAAAATAATAATAATAATAATTATAATTATAATTATAATAATAATAATATAATAATAATAATTAATTTAATAAACTGTTTATAATTTTTTTTTAAATTAAATAGTTTTATAAGTATGTATTAAATTACCTAATTAACATTTTATTAATATAAATAAAATAATATTGAAAATATAAATAAATAAAATAATAACTGTTTATAAATTTTTTATTATAAAATAAAATAGTTTGATAATTATTTCTTTAATTACCTGATTAAAATATAATTATTTAAAAAATACATTTATTTAATAATAGTAAAAATAAACTGTTTATAAATATATATTAAAATATAATTGATTGATATATAATCAATTAATTACCTGATTGAAATATAAATATATGTCCTAAGGCACTGATTAGGTTAAGGTTTATGAGTTATATCTTTGAGATTTTTAAAATCCTTATAAATATGTTTAAAATTATGCAATAATATTTTAAAACTCATTTTTTGTTTTTTGTTTGTTTTTTTACAAAGTAAAATAGTAGAGAAACATAATTGGAAATACTTTCTTAAAGGTTTTACGACTCCTAATTATTTCCATAGCACTTCCTTATATTTATTACCATTTTAAAATATTAATTTTAGCAAAACAAATAAAAAAAAGCCAGCCTAAAGCCGTAGTTGTTTAACTTCAAGCAAGCAGAATGTAAAATAAAAATAAAAAATATATATATGTATATGTATATTATTTCTAAATAATACTTAGTCTTTCTATATTCCTAAAATTTTCGATTTTCCAAATAAATTTCCGACAAGTCGAAAGCGAACAGAATATAATAAAACCAAACGGAAAGGAAAGGTAACGATTCCGTGGCAAACTTATTTGTTTGTTCAGTTTGTTGTGCTCGTCCAATTCATTTCTCGTTTCTTGTCGTGCAATTTCCGTTTCCGCTTCGCCGGCTACCCCCAAAAGCCCCTTCTAAAAAAACATATATATGCAGATTCAGGTACTGTTCAGGCACTACATACATACATATATACATTCATTCGCCAAACACTTGACATTGTTTTGCAAGTTATTTTCGCATTGTTTGATTTCACTTTTAAAATTCGTCTGCTTGCTCAGACACGGTGGCAAATAGTACAAGGTAAATCCGCCTTAGCTTCGCTTAGACCACCTCCGCCTTTCCCCCCTGCCAGCATTATTCGTATTTGGATTTTGTTATAAACATTTTAGTGGAATTACTTTTAGTTTAAGTTGCTGTAGGTAAATTGTGTCTGCCTTGTTCGTGCGCCACTTTTTGCCGCCTTCCCCTGATGGAACATTAAATGCTTTGGGTTTAGGGTAAAATGGAAACGGAGTGGCTTTACTTTGGTTAATTAGAAGGTTAGTCCTGTGATTAGTTGGCATTTTGAGGGGGCTTACAAGATTTAAAATGCGAAAATTATGGGAAAATTAAAAATACACTTGAGACAATATTTAAAATATATTTTTAAAATATTTCAGTATTTTAAAATATTTTATTTTAAAATATTTTATTTTTAATATTTAAAATATTTTATTTTAAATATATATATATATTAAATAACATAATTAAATATAAAATAAAAAATAAATATAAGTTAAACAAATTAAATTTAAATATTTTAAATAAATAAAATAAAATTTTGAAATAAATATTATTATAATTAGATTAAATATTTTTTAAATATTTATATATTTAATTTCAAATATTTTAAATATAAAATTTTATTATTTTAAATGTTTTATTTATTTTTTAATTTAAATATTTTAAATATTATTAGTATTTAAAATATTAAATCTTTTAAATATTTTTAGTATTTAAAATATTAAATATTTAAAATATTTAATATTTAATTTATATTCAAATATTTATATAAGCTTCGTGTTTAATTTTTCAATGTACTCAAATTTTTGGCTTTACTTTAAATTTAGATTTCGATTTATTGGTTTTCCTAACTTTACAAGTATAAAATGTATAAATTAGTAAGCTAGCTTTTAAGTGATTTTTAAACCTTAAATCATTTAAATTGCATCATTGGTTTGAATTTCCAACTGTATTTTTAGCTTTAACTTTTTTTTACTTTGAACTTTGTGAATTTAATCAATATTGAATTTATACTCTGGTAATATTTAACCCTTCAATGCAATTGACATGGCTAAAAAGGGTCCTTTTGGGAGTCACTACGATAAAAACGAATCTCTTGTACAATTTCATGGATGATAATTCAGACAATTGACCCGCAGAAAGGTGGTGCGGCAGGATTCTATAATTAAAAAGTCATTTGGCCTGCATTTGAGCCAAAAGCAATAATCATTTGGTTATTTTTGTATATATAAAAATCATTTTTTTGGATATTCCCAGATACGAACAGTCACTCACTCTATACTCACTCTATATGCACTTCATACTCACCTCCATACTCATACCATGATCGGTGTGGGCAGCTTTAAAGGCACTGCAGCGTCTGGGCCCCGCCCACTCTGGAGGATTGCGGTTGGGGCCAAAGGTTAAGTTAAGCTCCGTTTGAGTTGAACTCCGGTCCGCTGCCCCCTTTTCATTTCATTTCGTTGCGTTTCGGTTGTGGTTCTGAGCTCGGGGTTTTCCAGGGCTTTTCATTTCCAACAGTGCTGCCCCAAAGAACGATTTAAGAAAAGCTACAAAAAATTGTGAGAAAAAGGAGATAATAATTATAGAAAATAAGAATTTGAACTACTTTTAGGTTATTTATTTTGTAATAATATTTATAAAAATAAAAGGACTTAAATTTTTTATACTTTAAGCCGTTAAAATCTTGAAATCATAAACTTTAATCGAAGATAAATTCCAAGAACTTCCAAAAGTTAACTCTAACTAAATTAAAAAATCAAAATAAAATTAGCAATTAAGACAAACAGGCCCTCCAGGACAAATATATATATTTAAAACAAAAAAAGAAGAATATAACCATTGACATCACTGATTTGCATTCTTCTGTGCAGTCCTGGGACTTTCCCACGCGGAATGCAAAAAGGCAGAGTGCGCTTTTCCGGCTCCTTTTCCGTTTGCCGTTTTCCCGACCGGCTGCCGGAAATACTTGAAATTCTTAGAGCCTTCAATTGAAGTGCAATTGCTCCTCCGACTACGACTGCTGCATCTGAGAACCTCCGCCACTCGGCCAGTCGACGGCCACCAATGACAACAACAACAAAGGCAAGAGCAAGAGCCAGAGTCTTGCCACCTGATAACTGCTACCTGTTACCTGTAAACCACCTCGGTAACCTGTAACCTGCATCGTTGCCGCACGAACACTGCGCCGCAAAAGACGGCCCATGCTTTTACGCTTTTCCAATTTTCCCGATTTACCGCCGAGTGTCTTTTACCCGACGATGCCGAACGAGCCCGATTCGGGGGCCACACAAGCGAGCCAATTGGACGAGGTTTTCCATGGCCACAGCAATGCAACAATGTTGCGCAATTGTTGCCAGTTACAATAGAAACATGTTGCCAGCAACATGCATCTAGCAACATGGATGTAAAGAAAACTAAAAACAATGAGAAAATTAGAAAGACATTCCAAATATATATATAAAGAATGTATTTATAAATATTTCAATAAATATAAATTAAAATTTACATAAATATTTACGTAACTTTATGTTTTTAACATTTAATTAAAGGAAACCTTGCAAATTTTTACCAAGATATAACAACCTATTGCCCCATTACAAATTATTAACACAATTATTGCCGGGATATGGATGTGGGATATCCTTCTGGACCCGGTCACGTCCCTCTATTCAACTATAACGATGCAAATTAGCTAACGGAATTATGAGAGAGTGCAGCGTGGGAAAAGTTTCGCCTTCTTTTCCGCACTTTCCATCTTCATCATCATCCCCATCATCGTCATCATCATTGGCTTCGTGGCAAACTTTCGTCAGTCACTGTCTCCAGTTCAAGTCCTGGACTCGCGCTCGGGATCGGGGTTAATTTCAGTTTCTTATTGCAGTTAATTAAGTGAAACTTGAGTTGCCGTCATTGCAAAATAAAAAAAAACTGAGAGAGAGGGACTCGAAGTCAAAGTCTGAGTCTGAGGCGGTATTTTCGCAGTTTTAATTTATGCAGCGTCTTTCCCTGCCAGTTGCTGTGCATGTCAAAGTGCTGACAATCAGCAGACAATCCCAACAATGATAATCAAGTGCAGCGCCATGTCGAAATGGGCGAAAAATCCCAGGGATTTAAGTGAAGTCAGCAAGAAAAAATAATACAAATGGGGAATACAAAATGGAAATTGTGGGGATATAATTAAATAATTAGTTGTATATATTATTTATCACTTTTATTTTGAGATTACAAACAATAAATCACATTAAACCAAAGGCGGGTTTATATAATAAAGCAGTTAACTTGTAGTTTGTGTTGGAAATCGGTATTATAATAAAATTCTTTATGCAAAAATAATAATAATTAATTAGAAACTTATGAAATTTCCCCAAAAATCAATAAATTATTATATATTCGGGGCGAATGGCAAAAGTTGTCTTCACCTTTGATTTCTTATATTAATTTTTATATGAAATATATTTTAGAAAATCACATTAAACGTAGTAGTGGAAAACACTGTATTTTACCTTTTAATAAACAATAATTTAATTTTTATTTAAATGTTTCCTCATTAAAATTTTCATTTTCAATTGATTGGATGAAAAACCGCTGGTGTGACCGTTTTTCCTATGACAAAACTCCTTGATTTATAATTCGCTTTTTCCATATTTTTCTCACTACAAAGAAATAGTAAAAGGAAAATTTCTTGGATGACAATCAGAATTATTTCATTTTCGTTTTCGTCATCGTAAAGCCGCAAAATGGCTCCTGCTAGTAATTGCTCTCTGTGCACTAAGAATAGAAAAGTTTTGGACACAATTTTCGTTTGCACGGTAAGTGGAAATTCTAGCTAAAGACGACACAATTTCCCAGCCTCCGATTTTCGCAGACATGTCTTGAGGGTAAGCAATATCACGACTTCAAAAATGTGAAGAAGCCGAAAGACGCGAAGAATAAGTCCCCGAAGGATAAGACAAAGGTAGAGGAGAAGAAGGAGAATACGGGAAAGGAGAATAAGGCAAAGCAGAATCAGAAAAAGGAGAATCAGGAAAAGGAAAGCCCGGAAAAGGAAAGCCCGGAAAAGGAGAATAAATCAAAGGATAATCCAAAAACGAATAATAAGCCAAGGAAGACTTATGAAAAAGGGAATTCGGAGAAGGAGATGCAGGAACAGGAGAAGCCGGTAAAGGAGAATAAACCAAAGGAGGTTTCGGAGAATAAGGTTGAGGAGAATGTATTAAAAGAGATCACGGGAAATGAGAATAAACCGAAGAACAATCTGGGAAAGAAGAAGAATAATCCAAAGAATAATTTAGAAAAGAAGAATTTGGCGGAGGAGAATCTGGTAAAGCAGAATATTGAAGAGAAGAATCTGGAAAAGGGGAATGACCCAAAGAAGAATCCAGAAAGGAAGAAGAATAAGTCAAAGAGAAAGAAGGCAAAGAATAATCCAGAAAAGGAGAATATGGAAGTGAAGAATCCAGAAAAAGATAATATGGAAAACGAGAATCTGGATAAGGAGAATAAGCCAATGGAAAATAAGCCAAAAGATAATCCGGAAAAGGAGAATCCTAAGGAGACAGCTGGCACTAGCAGTCCGACTGTCCTGGCTCCCGTAATGCAAATCGTATATATCAATAACCAATATTTTGTCATCCGTAAGCCAATCGATGGTAATTAGCTCCCAAGTTGACGAAACATAAATTCAATTTCATTAATTACAATTTAAATCATTGCAAAAAAAAAAATAAACAGAAACTCAAACACACTCTCCTAACATGTTTTGAAAAATAAATTACAAATTTACACCGATCAATTTTATGCTTGATTTCATTGTAAATCGTAGAAGATTTTCATAATTAACCCTAGGAAATAGTATTTTTCCTTGCCAAATCTGGTCTAGATCCTGCAGCTTAAAGTTGGCTTTAAGACTGTCAACGCGACGAGGGCATTGGACCCGAAACTTGGGCTGGCTGGCTGGCTGGCTGGTTCTGACCCATCATCATCTGTCGGGCAATGTGGATTCAATTGGATTGGCAGTGCCCGAGAGCCACCCAAGACCCACCATCATCCCCTAGGTGCAGACATGGCTGTGATTGCGCCAAGGACATAAAGTATGCAACACTCGGAGCGAGGACGAGGTCCAGGCCATGCCCATTGAATCCACAATGGAGTCAAAGGAGTCGGTGTGAACCGAACTGAATAGTGAATCGAACGGGGGGTTGAGGGGGCGGTCGGCTGCCCACGTATAATCATCATAATGGCAAATTATATATAATAATAAAATATTTCGTGTCCGAACTAACAAACTTTGCCGGCCGGCAGAGTGTGTGAGTGTGAGTGTGAGTGTGTTTTTCAATACACACTGCGTACGTGCAGTTCAGTTTTCGGCTCAACTCCATGGCCAATATCCAAATATACTCGATGCAGAGAGTCCCACCCCCCAGTCATTGGCAGGACTTTAAGCAAATCCTTTTCGGGCATGGTGCCACGCTTTGTCTGGCCATTTCATGAGACGACGGCGTGACAATGGCCCCTTTTCCAAATCAATCGTCTGCGTGACCCCTTAACCAACCCCGAACCCCGAACCCCAAATCCTGAAGCCCCCTCCCCAGTTCCCTGCGACGCCTCTGCATGCACTGCATGCAAAATTAGTCTGGCAATAGAAAATGAAATGCTTGGAGACCTTGAGATTCCACCTCTCTCTTATACCATATATCCATTTCCGTATCCGGCACTCGCTTTCGATTCAGTGCGTGCTTTCTTCGTATCGATAACCCACGGTGACTGGTCCCCGAATTAGGCAATTCTTCACCGAGAAAAAAAGGATACAACTGGAAATGTTTTAGGTTTTTCCATAAATAAACCATAATTTTTATATTTTCATTTATTGGAAAAGAAAATTTAAAAAATTGAATTCATTTAATTTAGAAGCTTAATTAATCAGCATTCTTTATTTGAAATGTTTAAAAATTGCATTTTTTGTTATTTTTTCATATATATAAATATGTAAATATATAAAATTTGGATCTGTTTTTTGTCCAGTGCTCAATGTGTCAGGGAGATCTGTGGCAGGATCCATTCGCCGATTTCCTTTCCAACTCGAAAGGCTTTTCACACTGCCGTCAATAGCTCGAGACACACGCAGGCCAAGTCAATTTGCAACTTTTCCTGTCAGTCTCCCCTCTCTCTCCCTCTCTCTCTCTCTCTCTCTCTCTCCATCTTTGGCATTTTCACCACTGATTTTCCTAGCCGCTTTTCCCCCCCTTCCTTTTTTGGCGATGGTGCTGGTGGAACTTGAACTTCCTCCTTGCCGGCAAAGTGTTCCATTTCCTTTGTGCCCAGGAAAATTCACAGGGGGTGCCATGGGGTTAAGTGTGGCTCCCGCGGTTTTCACTGCCAATTTCCACTGGCGCTTCCACTTCCACTACCACTGGTGCTTCCACTACCATTCCACTTCCACTTCGATTGCGGCAAACGGCAAAGTTCAAAGCGAACATTTTCGATATCGCTATTAATTAACGTTACTAAATTAGCGGCTCAGATGCACTGAAAATCCAAGAAAAAACTTGGATTCTTAATTTTTATTCAATTTTAATAATTTTAATAATAATAAAAAAGTACAAAATAGCCAAGTTCCAAAGGAAATGCCTCCAAACAGCTAAAACAGGTATATAGATTGTGCTGGTAACGTTTCTCCCTGGATTTTTTCCTCATTTTAGAGCAGAAGAGCTGCAAATAAAATAAAAAAGGTTATTATTTTCATAATTTATTTAATATTATTATTAATTTACCTTCGATTATTATGAAAAATTCAAAAGTCCCAAGGTTAAAAGGTACTCCCTAGGCAACATCTGCGCATCTTTACATCTTTAACTTAACTTATTATACTTCTACTTCTTTCGATTGATTTTAAATTCGATACGATATCTTCGACTGATTTTAAATTCGATATCTTTCGATTGATTTTAAATGCGATATAGATATCGATATATATCTATAGCAAGTAATAAATGCACTGTAAATAATTATCCCTGCCTGCGCAAACATAGATTTCTTTCAAGTTCTCTTTGAAATATATCTGATGTCTTTTTAGCAGAATGCAGAAATGCGAATGGCAATGGAAAAGCCTTCGACGGGCCGTCGGAAAAGCCATCAGGAAAATATGCTGTGCCATGCTGGGATATGTGATGTGTGATGTGTTGCAAGGCAACTTATAGTTTACAGATACAACATCTGTTTCTGTTTCTGCTTCCGCTTCCGCCACTCCTCCTCGTCCTCGTCCTCGTCCTCGTCCTCGTCCTGATGATAATCGAAGGCATCGGATGATGATGGCAGGCGCTAAACAAGGCAACTGACATTAAAGACACATCAGAATTCATCAAAAACGGCCAACTAATAGAAAAAGTTCTGACAGCAGCCGGTCCCGGTTTTGGTTCTCCTTTTTTCTTTCAGGAAATACTATTTCTCCTCTACTCCTGGCTGTGTTTTCTGTTTTCTGTTTTCTATTTTCGGCTCGGCATTAAAGTTAAATAGTTGCAGTGGGTTTGAGTTTCCCCCATTTTCAATTGCCGCTGCACTTTCACATAAAAATGATTTAAATGCAGGCAGCATTGGTGCATTATGGGCTTACTGGCATATACAACAGGACGAAGGACGTTCACTCTACTCTTTTTCCGACTGAGCACTCGTTGAGTGACAAGTTCCTTGCTCGGGGCCATGTATCAAGTTGATGGCCGCCCGGCGGCCAAACAGTGGTGGCAACTTCGTTATGACCGTTAGCAACTCCATTTGCCAGAGTCCGAGATCCCCAGGATCCTGGCAACTTCATATTACACTGAAAAAATATAAATATAGGTTGTAAATATAATTGTAAATTCAATAAAGAAAACAAAATAAAAATATAATTAAATTGAATTTTTGTACTTCTTCATTTCAGTAATATTTTAATTTGATATATATAAATTAATTTAGTATATATTTTTCCAACAGTGCACTTTGTCCTGGTTGGAGCTGAGTGGCAAGGACTCTGCACTCCATCTGCATACTTAATGCATTTTCATTTTATTTCATTGCTTTAGTTCTGACCAGGCCGAGGGAGGAGCAACTCCTTGGACGGGATACACGAGGTACTCAGTCCTCGGTCCCGGAACCCGTTTCCCGCGTCCTGTATCTGCATCTGTATCTTTATCTTTGCTCTATGGCTTGTCTTGTGTTTACTTACTTTCATTTGTTTACTTGTGTTTCATTCGGTTAAGTGCTTCCTTGATTGTTTTGCCCGCGCCCGCCTTTCTTTTCGTTTTTTTTTTTTTTTTTGGGACTTCTGGAAAATGTTGAGTTTATTGCAGGGGCTTTCGTCTGCAACTCCATCAGAAGAGCTGCTAGTTAACATTGTTGGGGGAGTACCCCTAGGATCCTCCTAGATGATTTAGCCCAAAGATCCTAGCTAGAGCTAAAGCTATACAGAAACCAAAGGGAAAGTGAGAGGAAACAAGGACATTTCGCCACTTGTTAACAACATTGGTTCGTTGGGGCTTTTTGGCCATCGATGTCGGCGCAGTCAATAAATATATGCATGCCCATGATTGCGGCCCAGATATGCCCACGTACCGTTATATAGGAGCTGCCTGATTTGCATGGATTATCCTGCGAGTGCGTGTGCGGGTGTGGGTGCGCACAGGGTCCTTTGGCTGGCCTGGTGTTGACCATACAACATGCATGCATACTTTATGCATACATTATTTTAATGAATTATTGATTTCGCTCTGTGCCATGAGCTGAGCCTGCTCTTCGGTTTGACCCCACGAATGGCGAATGCTCTTTCTTTTACTAAAGAGAGATTTTAGGGTGGTTTTAATATTTTGTAATAAAAAATACAATATAGATATCTTAAGCTAGCTTATAGATGCTCTTCTTAGCTTTAAGTTTATTTATTTTATTATTTGTATTTCTATTTATGGTAAGCTACCTATATCCTTTGAAAGGATAGGTCATTTATAATGCTTTATTTCCATTCAATCCATTTTTGGCATTGTGCAAGTGAGTATCTTAGGTTTTGATAACTACTAACTGCCTTTGCCTTCTATTCTCTGCCATTCTGATTTTATTTCCTTTGTGTATTTGGTGTGTGCACTGAAAAAAAATAGTTTAAATAAATAAAATATTCTACCTAGATAATAAGAAATTAAACTATTTAAATTAATTGCAATTAATTATATTTACAGGCATATATTTATTATTATTTATAAATTTAATCAAATATAAAAAATAAATATTTCCAAGCAATTATCATTTAAGTTATATATTTATTTTTATATATTTTTTAGCTCTTAAAATATGTGCTTACATTTAAGAAATTGTATTATTCATACATAAATTAATTATAATAATATTTATATATCTTTTATAATTAATATATTTATTCCAGCACTCAAAATAAATATTTTCAAGCAATTATAATTTTATTCTTTATATACTTTAGTTTTTAAAATATGTTAATATTTAAGAAATAGTATTTATATATTTATTAAACATTTTCTGAATTAAAAAAACTGTTTTTGCTGCTATTACTTACTTCTTTCAGTGTTCGTGTGAGACTTTTGTGTGGTTTTTGTGGCCCAAAATAGCACTTTGTTGGACTACCAAAAGGTTACCTACCGTAGACCGAGCGCATTAATGGAAATAATGGGTGTATCTATTCAATTATATCGAAGTCGAAGCCGTTACTTTGCCCATCCACTTTCCCTCTCTCTTTGTACATACATATATATATTTTTCGGGAAGCTCCATGTCCTGGGAA